TGTGACCTACAGAGGCCGTCTTAGGCATCAGAAGACAGGATCGTTTGGGTCGTAGTTGCTTATACAGCGCCAGATCAACATGAAAGGCAGAGCTGAGAAAGTCCTGGTAGCATACATCCCCAGGGGCTTTTCTCCTGTTAAAGCCTGATTGACAGGCCTACAGTAGAAAGCAGTTGATTGCAGGTCTTTACAGTAATGGCCTGTCAGGAACTTGATCTATTTCAACATGAAAGCTGGCACACAAATCAATAATGAGACAGCAAATCAAATCATTATAAGGCTAGGATACCATTCCTGTAGCAGGCTGAGTCTGTTCACAATAAAGTTGAAGACACTGCATTGGCAGGATTATCCTTGGAGAAAAGCAAAAACACGGTGCTGCTCGTTTAAAAAGCAACTGGAGCAGTGTGTGATGCAAATCAAAAAACCTTGAAAAAGACTCAGGAAGGTTAAAGCACAGATAAAAGTGTGGGCAGCATGTGGGAACTGAGGATAAGATGTAACGTGATTAAAGCGTGTGCATTCAGCACAGCCTAGTGAATGCTGGCATTTCAAGAATGTGATATAAAAATCTTGCCAGTTAGTGTCTAATCTTGATTAGCACTAAAAGAAAACAACAACTGAAAAAAATCCAAATAATACCCACCTGAGATGTCAGTATCGTCTAAAGAATCAAGTAAGCAAGCAAACGAGTGCCTTCTCTAAATTCCCAGCTTAAAAAAAAAAATGCTACAACAATGAGTGAGTACCTTAGAAGCAGCTACAGGTTCAACAGTTTATAAAGAATTTGGCCTTTCAAAACTGTGCTAATTAAAAACGTACTAGGGAGGAAGACAGTGCAGCCAGTCCTGATGAGACCTGGTAGGCTAGGATCAGAAGGAAGGAGAGGAAGACCTCCCCTATCAGTAGACTTGGGGAGGGGCATGTGGGGAGAAGGGGGAGGGTGGGTGGGATTGGGAGAGGAATAGGGGGCCACGGGGGGATACAAAGTGAATAAAGTGTAATTAATAAAAATTAAAATAAAACATGGAAAAATTTTTTCAAAAAAAAAGTATCAGGGACTAACTTAAGGCAACCTTTCATAAGGAAACATCTGAGGTGCATGTTTGCTCCCCCAGTAGCCAGCCGTTAAAGGTGTGCTTGCATGGAGGTGCAAGCATGGTGCTTTCATGGAGGGGGTCACCTAAAGGAACTTAGTAAAAACTTATTAAAGATGAGGTAAACATAATAAGAATATGTAGAAAGAGACAAAGTGTGTAACTGGAGTACCAGGGAAGAAAAGGCATACCTGTGCTGAAGACTCCACCAGGCTGATTGATTAAAATTTCCTGATGTGGAAATTAGAATTTGCAGATCCAGAGCCAAATGATCTTGGATTATCCACATCTGTTCCTGAGTTAACAGTCCCCCCTCTTTAAAGATTTATTTATTTTATTATGTATACAGTGTTCTACCCGCATGCACCAGAAGAAGACACCAGAACTCATATAAATGGTTATGAGCCACTATGTGGTTGCTGGGAATTGAACTCAAGACCTTTGGAAGAGCAGACAGTGCTCTTAACCTCTGAGCCATCTCTCTAGACACCTTAACAGCCCTCTTTAGCACCTCTTTTTGTTGTCATTGTTGTTTTGAAACAAGGTCTCACTGTGCACTTCTAGCTGTCCTGGAACTCAGAGATCTTCCTGCCTTTTCCTCCTACATGCCACCAAACTCAGCTTTGGCATCCATTTTTGACAGACCAATAGCTTCCAGCAACCCATGAACTAAGAATATCATCACCAGCTGCCTAAAATCTACTGCAGACTTTTCCTAGCTTTGTTGTCAACTGTCTATCTGGTGGTGTCTGTGTCTAGCTTTGCAGAAGCCTTGTGCTCTCACTGGAGACACAGACCCTAGAAGGGTTCTTTTGTCTGTATTTGGTAAATGTATTAATTTATGAATTCTTTTGTTCTAAAGAATGCTAATATGCCTCCTTCCATGATGCTCTTCAGGGCAACCTGAACTCATTCCTAGACCACAGTCACATATGTTTTGGCTTTGTGCTTTGTGGTTGAGAGCTGTGTTCTGCATTACAGTCTTTTCCTCTTTGGGGGGCGGGGGGGGAGTTGTCTCACAAGGTACACAGACTGAATAACTACAGTTTTTGATGTCTGTGCCTATTATAGAAATAGCATCTTAAATCCTTTGTATGAATCTCATGAACAATCACTGTGGGCACAGGCATGGGGAAGGCTTCAGGATTTGATGTTTCATGAGGCCCAAATTAAGAAATAAGAGGCGAGATCATGCTAAATAAAGCAGATAACCACATTGGGATTCTGAGTTTCCTTAGGCAATGGTTGGGGTCATTCCACCCCAGCCCCTAAAGGGGCATCAGTCTACTCTCAAAAGGGTTCCTTTTCCAGGATGACTGTCTCCAGTAAGAAGATCAAGGAGACCTGTGGGTACAATGTGTTTGAGGCGGCTGGGGGTGTTTTGTGGTTGGGGACATTTTGTCTTTGGATTCTTGAGATTTGTGGCGATTAAAAGGGATTCCCCAGAGGAACCTGTTTTCCAATATTACAAGGAGAGTACCTCAAGTTATCAAACATTAGAGTCATGATGCTGCAAACTATCTTCAAATTCCTTTCCCAGCGTGAGGGGACCAAAGGAGTGACTATGAGGCATCTACACTAGTTTCCAATCCTGAATTTTGACTTTGTGGCCATGGGCAAATCACTTAATTTCATTAACTGCTGCTGACTTGTCTGTGAAATGGAGGTTTTGAAAGGATCTCATGATCTATCCCAGGGGTTCAGAAGGCCAGCTCCAGTATTCACTGTCTCTTTCTCTGAGAACAGGAAGATAACGTACATGCTCAAGACAGTCTCCTGACATGGCCGCAGAAGAGGACTCAGGCTCCAGTCTTCCTGCATGACACGGAGCTGCTCTCTAGAGAGGTGAAGCAGATGGCAGAACAGTGACCGCAGGGATGTAGAGGTTCCTTGGGGAAGATGAAGAGCAACTCTCTACTCATTTAGGTCCCGTCATTTTCCCCATGCTGACTTACTAAACAGCCTCACAGGCCTAGTACATATCCACCATTCAGGAAATTTGGGTATCTACCCTAGGTCCAAAAAAAAAAAAGGCACAGTGTGGTTTCTTTCAAACTGCGATAGTGATCTTGAAAGTGTGACCAAGTAAATGGATTTACTTGTTATACTTTGACTGAGCCAGCTTGATCTATCAACAAGTAGAAAGATTTTACAGCTTTTTAACGTGTGGTCAACAAGATGAAACTCTCCTATGACAGAGGTAATTTCCAATATTAAAAGAAGTGGAAACCTTGCTCTAAGATCCCAAACTTCTCAGAGTACCTTTATCTCCTGGATAAAGGGCCTTAGAATTGGTTTCAAATCATTCATATTTCTTGTCGCATGATAAGTAAAGGTGTAAAATCTCATTTTGTTTGTTTCCTTATAACCTTGGACATTCTCAATTTGTAGCTTCATGGTGGTGTGAAATTAACATGAGTTTTATGACAACCATACTTCAAAATTCTGCATTTTCTCCTGGTTTTGGGTAGCAGGATTGAGCTATAGGTCCTTGTCAGAGACATAATCACAGGCAAAGAACTGACAACTTACAGAGCACACATGGTGTTACAGATAACATGGACATGTAGCTGTTATCACAGTAGTATCTATACTTTGGTAGATGTCTGAAATCAAAATTAAAAAGCTAGAAAGCAATAAACAACACAAAGGAAGATATATTAATAAGGGCACTTGCCACCATACCTGATAAGCATCAGCTCAGTCCCTGAGACCCCCATGGTGAAATGGGGAAACCAACTCCTATAATTGTTTTTGACTTGACCTCTACACTTGTGCTGTTGCAAACACACACACACACACACACACACACACACACACACACACACACACTAAAAAACTGCTTATATCAAAGAGAAATCTATACAAGAAACTGCAAAGACTTTTTTTTTTTTTTAAAATCAACAATCCAGGGTCAAGCAGAACAGGAACAGTGTCCTTATTCATATTTACATGTATGTATATTCATATTTAAATGTATGTACCAATGCATTTTCGTTATAAAAAATAGGGAGTGAGCTGGAGAGATGGCTCAGTGGTTAAGCACACCATCTGCTCTTCCAAAGTACCTGGGTTCAATTCCCAGCACCCACATGGCAGCTCACAACTCTCTGTAACTCCAAGTTCCAAAGGATATGACACCTTCACACTAATGCACATAAAAAAATTAAATAAATTATTTAAAAAAATAGGGAGTGTATATTCTTTCCAAAAATTTGTTACTTTTGCGCAGATGTCATCTCAGTGTTTTGGATGAGGGCATATTTATAGGTCACTTGTAATATGCTTTATGGGTTGCCATAGCTTTCACAGCATTCCCTTCTCACATGGAGCAGTGGATCTGTCTGCGCAGGCCTGAGGTTGCTGGGGAGGCCACAGAACTACTAAGAAGCAGGATGGCGGAGCTTGCCGCCCTCCTCATGCTGCTCCACAAAAGTCTTGGTTAGGGATATTGGGATGCCTTATGTTCAGTTCCTCACTTGAACTTGAGTAGTAACAACCCAACACCAGATTTGGTGGAAACAGATGTAGAATATTCTTAAAACACTGATCTCTCATTGGATTATGTCTCCTGACACAGTTTTGCTAAAAAAGAATTTTCTGTCATGGCTCATCCATTTTAAGAATTCTGACATGTATTTGCCTCTTATTTCTTTTTATGTGATACAGCTGTTGAAGCCCTTGGAGTTTGATTTCACTGCTATGTTTTACCTGGGAAGTAAACCCAGGTGTGGATTCTTTGAGGCCACTGGCATTTACTTCTTCATACCTCCAGATGCTACTTTCTACAGCATGGAAGAAAGTGGCACCTTCCTAGACACACACAGACTCAGGCTTTACATGTGAAGTTGGGATCTGCTGGAGGACACTTGAATACACTTCTATGCAAACCAAAGCACTTACCCAATTCGTATTTTCAGCATGCCACTGAACAGCTCAGGGCTATTGGAGATGATCCAGCCGATATGGATGACCAGTTCTTGCTGAATGACTGCCTCCCTCTCATCGTGGGTATTACACTTATAATAGATGATGTTCTTAATCACTCTTGGAGACAGAGGATTAGAGATGACCTCCTCTTCATGTCCAAAGGCACCCAGAGTTACCTACAAGTGCCAGAATTTTACTGTTAAAGAATTCCTAGCAACCAAAAAAAAAAAAAAAAAATCAAGCTTCAGGATGACTGGCAGGCTGAAATTGCTCTGTGTAAGCTAGGGAGTTAGGTAGAATAACTGTTCCTGATATTTATTAAAATGGCTTTCAAAGCATGACTCCCACTGGGGTCCATGATGGTTCAGAGTCTGGTCTAAAATATAAGGGCAGGTAAGGATCTCAGGGGAGTAAAGGTAAGTACATATAAATAACTATTAATTTGGGGGGGCAATTTTAGTGCTAGGAAGTCCCTTAGAGGAGCCAAAATACATTTAATAGCTGTATTTCACTACACAGTCCAGCATTTGGGAGATCTATTTTTACAGTTTCTAAAGGAAAACTTTCTGCTCTTTAATAGCATTTCAACCTTTCAAAGTCAGGAGGAAGGCCATATAGTTTCTCTGTAGCTGTCACTTCTCCTGGAGTAATGTCAGGTATATATGGAGGGTTATGATCCATGATACCAGATGGCTCACCTATGGGATGAATGAATGGACTGACTGTCCACAAGCCTGTGAAAGGAAAAGCTCAGGAAGAATTGATAAAGAAAACTCAAAGCAGAAAGTGCTACTAGAGCTTGCAAGAGAATGCCTGCATCTCTCCTCTTTCCTTGACCAGCTGCTTCTCAGAGGGGTCTGTGGCTCTTGCTTCCTCCTCATCAACACTTCGTACCTCTTCCGCAAACAGCTTATAAGTATATGGGGCAGGAAAAGCAACAGTACCTCAAAGACATGTGCTTTTGAGATGAGGGAAGGAGTAAAGCAGCCTTTTCAATCTTGTAATGGACTAAAAGTAAGAACTGGCTTGGTATAGTGGCGAACATCTAGAATCAATTCTCTTAGAAGCTGAGGCAGGGGGATTATGAGTCTGAGGCCAGCCTGGGCTTTAGAATATATCCATATCTGTGTCAGCACCTACTGATCTATCTAAAAAAATCAACCTATAAGAACTACTGGTTTATCAGACATTAATGACACCAACCAGTAAATATTCATATGGTTACTTTGGCTTTGATTAAAATGCCATTATGTAAAGAAAACAGAAGCGACATAATTAGTTGCTAGAGATAATGATGAGTGAACTACTTTTATACAAGAGAGCTTGAGACAGTTTACAAGTTGTCTGAGAAACCACCCTACTCAGGCTAGAGTAGATCTTATTTATGGGCAAATGCATGCTTTTTTCAATTTCCATGTCTTTGCCTGTGAAGGGATGAGAACAAGTCAATGAGGAATTTGCCTGCACCTGTCATTAGGCTGAGCTGCTGGTGTATGGCCTCAGTCTGGCCTTACTGCTTATAATACAGGAATGTTTCTGTGGGAGATGTGTTGGCCTGATGGACAAGAGTCCAGCCACAGCTGGAGGCTTCTGGAATGTGGGAACAGGGTCTTAAACGCAGGCTACAGTCTCCTCTGGATATCGTTCAGAATGGATAAGACAAACCCAAGCCTGCCCTTCTAATGTCAGGCCAGTAACCACTTAGCCTTAAAACCTATGACCACAGGTAGAATTGGCTATGCGGCCTAAAACCAATGAGAAACATGTTTCCCAAAGCCTAGTTAGCTTTCTTTCACAGTAGTGGCTGTGAATGACTCTGGCTATAGATAAAGATCCTGGTAATAAAAGGTGCTGGGTAACCATTTCCTGTTCCTTGGTTTACCAAATCACTGACAGTGGTTTAAAGCTTACACACTAATGTGGAGCATGGAGAAAACTATATGGAAAGTAACTTTTTTTCAGTAATTTCTTATTACTGTATTTATGTTTAACTGTTAAACAACATTCTAAGAGAAGGTAAATAACATTATTCTAACATCCCCAAAGCTAGGTATCTGAATTAAATTATTTCAGTCTTAATTAAGATCCCTGAAATATAAGCAATTAGTTGATTGTATTAAAAAAGGTTAAAAAAAACCCTCTATTATTATTAAAGCTTACTATATTTCTAGATTAGCTGTCAGGAACAGACAATAAACACATCCATTTCCAAAGGAGAGCCAGAAAGCAAACAGGTTTTCACTCTAATCAATGAATCAGCCAGATGATTAGAGATTACGGGAAATGAGCAGCAGCATGCATAGCTCAACTTAACCCATTTACCATCAAGGATCTTGGAAAGAGACAAAGGAGTGGAGAGGGAGGGTAGAGGGACAGAAAGAGAGCAAGAGGAAGGGGGAAGGGGTGGACAGAATGGAGGGAGGAAGAAAGGGAGTAGTGGAGAGAAGAGAGGGATGGAGAGAGAAGAGAGGGGAGAAGGGGGAAGATGCAAGGGAGGGAGGAAATAAAGTGAGAGCACCAACTGTAGATGGCCCTGTAAGCAGTAAGTCAAAGAGCTGACTGGTAGGAAGGAGTTAGAGAGAGAGACAGTCTAGAGGGCAAAGGGAAGGAGCAGAGCAGGCATGTAGATTCTGGCTCTTCTTGAACATTAATGAGTTTCTTAGCAGTGGGAAGGGAGTGGTCAGGTGGAATGGAAGGAAAATGTGTCCTCTGCTTTGCTTTGCCCATCATGAATCTGTCTGAGTGCCTCAGCAGGTCCATTAGTCTATTTTCTACACCAGAATCTGCACTGAACTCAAGTAAACATGGGGCCTGAAAATTATAGCCCCAAGGTGCAGGATGAAAATGAGATGGCCCACTAACTGCTCTGTGGCTTTCAGACTGTGCAAGCATCTTTTTTGTTTGAGGAAAAAGACTTGAAGAAACTCGCAAGCCACTCACTGGTAATCTCTAGAGAAGTCTCTGACACCGATGCCTGCAGATATTAGTGTGCTAACCAGAAACTGTTGTGACTGTGTGTGTGGAAAGCACATACTTACCTGTTTGCCCTGCACTAAAACATTAGTAATGGATGGGGCCAGGCTGTCCACTACTTTACTTAAAAGACTTGCTGCACGGCGTACAACCGACCTGAGGGCAAAGAAGAAAGCAGGCCAGATCTTCACAAACAGAAAAAAAGGTGAATAAATGGCACCTTTCGGGAGAATGTTAAAATGTATACAGTTGGGTCCTCACATGATGGAGAAGAAACAGTAAATTCTCATTAGACCTGACCTTGAAGGAAGACCATCTAGAATTGGGGAAGGCATGTCTCATCCTCACCACAGCCACCAAGTAGTGGCAAAAGGCATCACTGGTGCCAAGATCAATTTCTAAAAGATAAGGGAAAGAAAAAGAACAAGAGGCCCTAACTATTCCTTTAATTGGGATGGGAGAGGGAGGAATTAAGAGGACATTCTGCTTCATATCAACAGATGCTAAAGCATTATATGCCTGTGACCAAGCATTATACCAATTTATGCCATGTTTCTTTCTACAATATTATTTCTAAACTCTGAGTGTGTCTGCATGTGAGTGTGAGCGCCTGCAGAGACTGGAGCCAGAGTTAGCTGCTAGATGTGAGAAACCAAACCTGGGTCTTCTGGAAGAGCAGTATGTGCTCTTAACTGCTGGGCCATCTCTCTCTGGCCTTGACTTATGTTGCTTTTGGTACCTGGATAATCAGATGCCTGGATTACAGGACTCAGTACTGCATTTCAGAAATGAATTACTCTCACTTTCTTTCTTGATAAAGACAGAATGCTGGGGGAAGGAATTCACACTTCTATTTTTATATTCCTGAAAACGTCTTAGAATGTAGAGAGAACAGATTTACACCCCCCAAATTACACCACATGCAATATATAAGACATTTCCCCTCAGAAGTAAAATTTATGTGAACACTTAGAGAAAGTAAAATCAAAATGTAGGTTTGAAAGTTCCACTGTTTTTAAAATTTCAAGATATCCACAGAAATTGGCCTATAACAAGCATTTATATTTCTTAATTACAACATGAAAGGACTAGTAGAAAATCAAGCCGACAGCTGACCAAGTTAGTGAAACAAATATTTCCCACTTCTAGAGAGACTCTTTCATCAAAACTTGAACACCAAAAGACACATGTAACCCTCAGAATGCAGATAAACCCACACGTATCAAGCAACTTGAGTTTCCCAAATTCTGTGCATGTTACCTGTTTCCCATGTACCAGAAAGGTGGTAATGTGTGGGGCTATAGAGGAGGAAAATTTCTGGGTAAATGCAGCCCCGTACCGCACAGCCAGCCTGGGGGCAGTGGAAAGCCATAAAAGGAGAATAGAATAAATAAAGCTTCCAGGACTCTGTTTGTTTAAATATAACAGTCAGCATTTTTAAATGTTTGCTACTTAATGTTTTATCAAAGACATAAGTATAATGCAGAAGCAAGAACTGGTTTTGCTTAGCCCAAACAATACTATAGGTACAGCAAAGCACACTATCCATAAAAACATCTACTGACTGCACATATTACTGTACTAAGAACTTACAGTGGAAATTTGAGATATCTAAGCTGGATGCTTACTACTTCTCCAGGCAGGAAGAGTGTATTCACCATAAAGTAGAGATGAAGTACTATTTAGAAATGTTGTCCAGTCCCTTATTTCAGAGACTAGAAATAGAAAGTTTACTGAGATTAAGGGAGTTTCATAAGAAACTACTTGATACTTAATTTAATCAAAGTGCAGAGCTGCATGTTTAGATACACTCTCCTCATTGTGAATTTAGACAGCCTTATTCATGACTCTTTCAAATTAAGTGATGAGATAATCACCTCTCATTATTTTTGATTATGATTAAATGGTCTCCTAGTGTCTTCTAAAACAACAGAACAGACTTTCTAGATATGGGATGAAACTAAAAGCACCTCTCTGGGGCAGTGCAGGAGAGCAGAATCATGATCCTGTCATCCCAGTGAGGGTTCCCTACGCTCAATCCCTGGGGAGGATTTTATTCCCAGATATTTTTATTTAGTGTCCTGTGAAATGGAAATGGAAATACCCTTCGAAAGTATGAAGTCAGGGTGCCATAACTTTAGAGTCTAAACATCAAAATTAGGATGAAAAACACCTGTAAGTATCAATTGTTATATTTAAGCTACTGAAGATAATGATACAAAAATGAAAACATAACAGGAAAGCAATACAAACCAGAGCTTTTTGCTGCCAGCTCTTCTGTACACTCTCTCAATGTGGTCAGACACAGTGCCTAGACGTGGGATAAAGACAGTCTTCATTGAAGAAAGCTTTCAATTAAATGCACAACATTTATTTTCCCTTAAATAAATTAAAAAAAAAAAAAAAACCTCTTGTTTTGAGCTGATTGGTTTAAATATGTAACCCAGATAAGAAGCTTTTGTTCCTAGCACCTATATGATTTGGTGTAGTTTTCAAAATTCTATCACTTTCTTAAGTAATGTGTAACATAAACTTTTAAACAAATACAATCTTACCTTTCAACAGAAAACAGAACACAGTAAAATATTAATTAACTGAATAAAAGCCTATTTTTTAATGGAAGTTTACTAAGGCTCTGATAAGTGTGTGGAGCTATGATCATTCCAATCAATACTCAGGTAACACATCCCACAGAGTCAAACTTTGGCCATGACTTACACTTGGTCTATACTCTTGACTGGTTTTGTCAGTAAGAATCAATGCCCCTAGCGAAGATGCTCAATCCCCATTCAGAAGGACAGATGTGATAGACATCAGAAGCAGGAGAAGATAGGGAACAGGACAGGAGCCTACCGGAGAGGATCTCTGAAAGACTCTACTGATTGAGGTATTGAAGCAAATGCTGAGACTCATAGCCAAACTTTGGGTAGAGTGCAGGGAATTTTATGAAAGAAGGGGAGACAGAAAGACCTGAAGGGGATAGGAGCTCCACAAGGAGACCACCAGAGTCAAAAAACCTGGGTTCTGGGGTCCCTGCAAAAACTGATGCCCCAACCAAAGACCATGTGTGGAGATAACCTAGACCCCCTGCTCAGATGTAGCCCATAGACTCAGTCTCCAAGTAGGTTCCCTAGTAAGGGAGCAGGGGCTGTCTCTGGCATAAACTTAGTGGCAGGGTCTCTGATCACCTCCCCCTGGCTGGTACAGCCTTGACAAGCCACAGAAGATGACAATGTAGCCTGTCCTGATGAGACCTGATAGGCTAGGGTCAGATGGAAGCGGTGGTGGGAGAGGACCTCCCCTATCAGTGAACCTGGGGAGTGGCATGGAGGAGATGAGGGAGGGAGGGCAGGATTGGGAGGGGATGAGGGAGAGGGCCACAGCCGGAATACAAAGTAAATAATTGTAATAAAAAATAAATTTAAAACAATAAAAAAGAACCAATGTTGCCGAACTGAGCACTAAAAAGCTATTAAGTATAAGGAAAACTATCTTTAGAATTTTCCCCTCACTTCTTTTTACAGACTTGATTTAGATTAAATTATACCCAGGTTCTGTAGACGCCTGCAAAAGCTGGGCCTGGTGGTGCTGGCAGTACTTACTCCACCACAATGAGGTGGGAGGGCTGCAAGTGCAGAGCTTGTCTGGGTCACAGAGTGGGTCAAAGGACAGTGTGGGAAACTGAGTGAGATCGCCTCAAAATAAACAACAGTAATGAGGCTGGAGATGCAGCTCAGTGCAGGGCATTTTCCTAGCATGCAGGCCTGAGGCCTGAGATTCCATCCCCAGGACTGCAAAATGAAAACAAATAAAAAAAGCAAAGCTAACGTCTTTCAGATATCTAACTAAAAGACATTTATTTGCTTTGAAAATATTTCCCAGCAATAACTAAAAATAAAAAAAACAAGACTGCTCCCAATATTTTTATTGTATAGTATTTTAATAATTAAAAATTATTAAAATAATTATTTAAAATTCTAGGTTTCCAATAACATGTTGAGTTCTTTTATAATTTTAACTTAAAAAGTTTTACTTCTTTTGGTTTAACTACAGATTAAATGTCAATGACTGTCCTTAAAACAATTAAGATTCTGTTAATACTTAGTATTAAGGCTAAAAAAAAAATGAAGGATTTTATTTGAAATCTGCTTCATAATACTCAAGAACTGTAACTGTTACAATAATGCAGAAACTAAGGAGGCTTCGTCAGGGTAAGTTTAGTGCACTACCAGAACTGGAGGTAGACACTACTGTCATCTGGGAAGGCTGAGTTTATTACCAGAACTGTTGAGTGTGTGGTTAGGGCACTTTCACTTTAACCAAATCAACATGTTCCACTAGACAGGGTTTTAAGATAAGTCAAAAAGTCTGATGACTGGAAATGAAATATACTTCAGTCTATTCTATATTATTCTGTACTATAAAATGCCAGCGAGAGATTATGATGTAGAACTTAACGATTCCTCAAAGCAATGACCACATACAAATGTAGATTTCAAGGATAACTGGGTCTCCTCCTCAGGGCAGACTAGACACAGACACAATTAGAAATTACTTATTTTTATTGATCCCTTTCAGAGCAGAATTCTACAAAGTGCCACATTCTGTTCCAAATGGCTGCTACAAACCAGAAAGAAGCCAAGTTCCAGAAATATTACTATTCAGTACTTTCTTGAAAATTTACAGGAAATAAACAGGAAACAGAAATGTCACTAAGCAGCTCCTGTAATGGGAAGTTCATAGTCACAGTGGAATCCAGGCTGTAAGAACAGCCAAGCAGGGCAGCCAGTCTGCGTGAGAGCCACGTCTGAGTCCATTGCACTTAAGGGTGAAGGGTTGCTTTCCATTTAAAAAGTGGAAGAGTTAATGGAAGAGGAAGTAACTTAGAACACTGAGCATTTTTATGCATTTCTGATAGCTGTTCAATCTATGTTGTAGATATGTCCCTGCTCATTTACTCTTACCTTCCATTGTGATGAAGTTAGGGCCCTCTCTTTTGAGCAGTATACCCAGTAGGATGGTTTGACCAGCCAGACAACTGCAGTCCTGAAAGCATCAATTGGCATAAGGAACTGTGATGAAATGAGCATCAGTAACCATAGGACTAACTGATAATAAAGCACACAATGCAGAGAGGAACCCAAGGAAGATAAGATGTTGTTGATACAGTAAATAGGACATCACAGACCTGTTGGTCTAAGATGCCTTGAAAGCATAGGGTACACAAGACAGCTATTAGACACAGAAGGATTTAATGCTAAGTGTTCCAGAAAGCAAAATAATTGATGGACAGACTCTATAGTATGTGCAAGTATTAATTAACACATCACCATCTGAGACTTGGCCAAGTCACTCTCTTCTTGATTTTACTTACTTATAAATGTGAGGCCATGCTACTGTCAGCGTAGATAGAGAGATACATGACAGGATGGGACACATATAGAATATTTGTATTTCAGGACTGTATGTGCTTTGTGACTGCTATGTGGTATTATTGCCTGTGTATGGATTAATAAGATGCTAGCCATGACTGGAAGGAAAGAATCTAGTTGACATACTCAACTCTGTATGGCCAAACATGACCCAGTGTTTACAGCTCTCTCAGTAGGGTTTCATTTCTTTACACAAATGTGAATAATCTCAGGAGAGAGCCATAAATTGCTTAAATACACATGCAGGTACAGGAAGAGGACCATGCTCCTCAGTGATGGGAGAGATAAAGCAGTCACTGGAGCTAAACTCTGGGGTAGGAGGGCTGAGGATGGAGCAGGGAGAGAAGAGTGCTGAATGAACCTTCGGAAGAACCCAAAGGCAGCCATCATTGACTCTGTCTGTCTTTACTAGCTCACACGCCAAGTTCCAATCTGTGAAACTCTTACCCATCTGCAGTCTTTCATACATCCACACTGACTTTGGCCCAAGAGGACACTTTCACTGCCTGCCCTGGCCACAGACCAGCCACCTATTTCTTTCAGAGACACATGGCCTGACTGGGAGGTCCTGTTCTGGCAGCCTCTTAGGGCTAGATGTGATTACATTTTGCTCACATTCAGCTTCTGAAGGATTTCATGTGTGGACTTGTTCTTCCACTCGGCGATGGTGATGTCCGGCTCCTGTCTCAGCTCAGGAGCATCTGCAGTACTGCTCTGTCGTTTGACTTTTGAATGCTTGGGAAACTCTAGTTCTTCAAAGCTCTTAAATTCTGGAAGCCTGGAAATCAAAGAAACATTTCAGATTTCCCATTTTCCTAATGTAACCACAAAAAAAATGCAAAAACTAAGTAAATCAAGGAGACTTACTTTTCTGTGTCACTAATTCGTAGAAAGTCAAGCTGTTCCACTACAGCTCCGGATATCAGTGTCTGCAATGTGATGATTCAAAATGTTTATGCCTGTCAAGCATCACTCTATGCTCATATTTTTCTATAAGTAATGCTGAAGTTTACTTATATACAATTTTGAAGCAATTTCCTAAATGAGAATTTTAAAATCAAACATTTCTATATGTAACAAATTAAAAGAGAATACAAACATCTGTAAATAGACTGTATACATCAAGCAGCATATTCATGAGTCATATTAAGTAGGAAAGCCACCATGAGATGGTCTCTCTGTTCTTTGAATTACAGGCATTTATTCATTTATTATAGTGCTAGGGATTGAGTCCAGAGTCCCCATTGATTATTTAAACCTCTATCTATATATGTCTTTATTTTAAAGTAGGTATTAAGATACTACAGTATCTATTAAACTTTTAGAAAATGAAGTACTAAGTTGTTTTTGGGAAAGACAACAGAAAATTGCACCTTGGACCCTGATACTGTAGTATATTTCAGGACCACCCAGTGATATAATAACCAACTCTCTTAAAAGACCCTGAAGGTAATGACTATCTGAGCTACTGCGTCTCTGTATTCTGGTATGTGGCAACCCATATTTGGCCAATCTATATTCTACTACTTCTTAATTATAAGTTCAGAAAACTAAATGAGTCTAAACTCAAACATTTTTTGCTGGTCAGTGGCTCGTGTTGAGTAGTACGAATGGGTGATAATATATAGTGGCTTTTTAGCACTACCTATCACTTCTAGTTATTTAGAGAACTGTCAGAAAACAAGCTGCCAGTTATTATTTTAAGTTAGGTATTCTTATTAAGATTTTCTAACACATATCATTTTCTCCCAGTTTGCTTCAAATATAAAGAAGCTGTGGATAGGAAATATTGCTTTTGGTGGCAAATGAACCTATCATTTCTCTAGAAGAAATGATGAAAGAGGAATATCCACAAATAAACACTCCCAGACACAGTAAGGACACACACGACACAGGCACACCAAACACCCTTTCAGAGGATCAATGAGAAAGCCGAATGTGCAAGCCCTGTGCACATTCCAACATGGTCCAACTATAAGCAGTCTGCTCTTAGACTATGGGCAGGATCTTCATGTGGATTTGTTGAATGGTATTTCTAACACATTAGCCCATATCTATACAGCTTATTTGTTGACAAAGTAGTTTATTAGACAAATAATATTTACTAATCATTTGCTATATGCAAGCATTGTATTATGTGCTAAGGATTAGCATAAACAAATATAAATTTTTTGGTCCCCCAAGATTCTTCTTATAATTATGTATATGAGATGAAGAATATAAACTTTAATGTACATCAGATGATGGCGAGTGCAAATTAGAAAAGTAAGTGCTAAGTAGAAGTAAGAACAATAAGGGGAAGGGGTACTAGGGCAGAGGAATAGGAGGAGGCTGGTTAGCCATTATACTTATGTGACCAGAGAAATTTTCTCTAGCAAAATGACAAAGTAAATCAGATGCTGAAGTGGGACTGTAGTCAACACTCAGGTTGAAGGGGGACTACCAAGCGCAAAGGTCCCAGGGTAGGAGCATGCATGGTGAGTTTTAGAAGATAGGTGGCTGGAATAGAGTAGGTAGGGAGACGGTAGAAAGCTGGGTCCATGATGAAGGTGCAGGAGCTGCAGATCATATAGACCATGTTTGGGACTCTGGTTTCCACTTCTGTGTGTGTGAGAAAAGAGGTCACCAGAGGCTAAGAATCAGCATAACTGCTAGTGACGCGTGAGCATGCCGACGCTAACTGTCTATAGCAGAATTCAGGATATGACAGAAAAGTCTAGTGAGGGATGATGGCAGGCGCATCATGGTGTCACTGCTAGGGGAAGCAAATTAGATTCTGGATATACTCTGAAGGCAAAGACAGCAGGATTATCATATAAGGTGTAAGAAAGAGTGAAAAAATACTAACTCCCCAAAGTTGATAACCAATATTGAAAACACACAAATAATTTTTAATTCACATTTTATATTTATAGCCTACTCATCCTTATTGGCTATTCTCTTCATAAAGTACATGTTTAGCTGAAGTTGACTCTATAGATTTCAATTTTAAAACATTCCTTGATATTAGAGGGTATTAAACTAGTTAAAAAATACTTGATTTGCCTGGAAGAGGACATATAAAAGAAGCAACAGTGCTGTAGCTGGGGACCAATGGTCCTTCCATTTAGGAATTGTGTGGGTAATGCTATGATGCTTGAATGGAACAAAGATATCTCCTGGTTGGATGCTACAGTTCAGTGTGCAAAGCAGCATGTGACCAAGAGACAACCAAAATGGCTCTAAAAGCCCAACATTATAAGCAAGTCATCAGTCCACTTATGGACTTGTTTCCTTATATACCAACAAGAAGTAAAGCTGCCAAAGTCTAAAATTCTGCCTAGGAAATAGCCGCTGTTCAAAGCACCTGACTGGAACAGTTGGATAAGTCGAGATGGGGCCAGCAGGAGTAAGAAGGTAAGCACAAGATAAAACTTGTAAAACACCAAAAAATCTGAGCACAGGGGTCTTTTCTGAGACTGATACTCCAACCAAGGACTATGCATGGAGATAACCTAAGACCCCTGCACAGATGTAGCCCATGGCAGTTCAGTATACAAGTGGGTTCCATTGTAATAGGAACAAGGACTGTCTCTGACATGGACTGATTGGCCTGCTCTTTAATTACCTCCCCCTGAGGGGGAAGCAGCATTACCAGGCCACAGAAGAAGACAATGCAGCCAGTCCTGATGAGACCTGATAGACTAGGATCAGAAGGAAAAAAAAGAAGACCTCACCTATCAGTGGACTTGGGGAGGGGCATGCGTGCAGAGGGGGGAGGAAGGGAAGGATTGGGACAGGAGGAGAGAGGGAACCACAGGGGGGATACAAAGTAAATAAAGTGTAGTTAATAAAGAAAAAAATAAAAAAAAAAACTTGTAAAACACATTGAGAAACGCAGATTAGCTGTCCTGAACTGGAGATGTAGACTTTAGACGGCTACCTGTAGACGATCAACATGGACTTTGACTCCTCCAATTATTCCCTTTTTAAAGGCTGCCAACATGTCTAATATGGGGTTGAACCTGCTGCCTCTAGAATAAAGCAGATACATAAAACAAGCCTATTAACAATAGAGAAGGAGATTAACAATCAAATATTTGCTATATATGTGAAAGAACTTACAACATGATAAGAATACAAAAATACCAGGAGGTACTGCTTTCAAACTCTCTGTGTTAATAGCCATAAGGCAAGGGTAACTTACTAATTTAAAGATGTGATGTGTGTGTGTGTGTGACTGTGTGTGGGTGTGTGCACATGAATGCAGTAGCCACAGAGGGCAGATGGGAGCATGATATCCCCTGGAGCTGTTTGTTTTGAGTCACTGGGCACCAGTGCTGGGGGTTGAACTCAGGTCCCCTGCAAGCGCTGAACAGCTCTTAAGGGTGGAGCCATTTCGTCTGTCCCATACCTAACTTGCCATCAACCTACCTTATGTTGTCTTCCCGGATGAGAACAAGGAAAAGTGGGCGTCCATGCATTTTCCAATATTGCTTAATGAACTGTAGTGCATTCTATCAAAAAATTAGATTGAGGGAGGATGTCATGGAGTAGTATCTGAGATTACTGGGATCCTCAACTGAGAGGCAAAGAGCCTGTAACACTGATAACAGTTTATAATCAAACCCTGGATAATTTAGGCTACTTAGAAGCATAGCATCATTTTCATTTCAAACTTTATGTTTTGTGGGTCTTACTTACTCATGTCTTTCTCTTTCCCATCTCTTCATGTTTCTTTCTCTCCCTAAAAATGTACAGCTCCTGAATGAACTGAGAAACAGCTGCCCACATGCTGTATCACTCAGAAGACTATCACTGCCTTTCACTATGGACTGGTACCAATAGACAGAAGAAAACTGTGGAAACTGTCAGTAACACGTGGAGAGTGCTTTGATTAGATATGTATTCTCATCACCATTATGTAACTTCCCACCGTGTGCCCGGCACTTTTTGACTGTTTCACACATACTAATTTATCGGTTCCTCAGAACAGCCGTTCTATTATCTGAGGAACTAAATAACTTTCCTGAGAACATACAGCCGGTAAATAATGGAGTCAAGAATTAAACAGAAAAAGTCTGGTTCCATGTGTGGTGAGCATGGTTCTAAGCCTTTCTTCTCTATATACAGAGAACGGAGTATAGCAGATCTTAATCACAGAGTTATGGCTTAAGTGAGACCTACTAGATAGTCGTCAGAAGTAAAATTATTCTGCTAATTCAATCTGCTCCAAAGGAAATGAACTATTAGTATCAAACAAGCACAGTTTTAAACGGGATCTTTTCCATTTCTAGAAGAGTCTAATTTTATTTTAGCATAGCCAATATTCCAAACTCTGCAAAGGCGCTATTTTACTTGGTATAACCCAGTGTCACAGACAGCCAGGAATTCTCCATATGACAACATCTGACAGAATCAGTGTGAACAAAGTCATCTCTGCAGAGCTACCTTTATGTCATCTATGAGCAGCAGAACATCCTGAGACATGTAGAAGTCACTCAGGTCAAAGATGATAGGGTAACAGACCACAGTCTTCCCTAGGATGCGATAGCTCTGCAGGAGGAGACAGAAGGCAAACAGTTACAAAACACAAAGGTGCAGTGTCCTAAGTCTCAGTGCTAATGAATACTGATTCTTATTTCTGAATAGGCAAATAAAGTAACAAAATTCATAAAGTATTAATTTTAAGGGTTTTTTTTTTCTTGAATCAGTTTGACAGTAAGTTTAAAGTAGAATATTTCTAATAAGGTTGAAAACCCTATGCTTGAGTAAATATTATTATAAATGTTTTACAAAGTTTGGCAATGACATAGCAGTGAGATATTCATTTATTCCCAGAAAGCTTCAGCAATGAGACACACAATAAGTATGATTTATGTGCATAAAATTGTGATTCAGATAACTGCCTCAAGCACATAATGAAACGTGGCAAGGGCCAGCCAGAGGCCAAGCATGATTTCAGCATTCCGAATTACTACCCAAAGTCACTCCATGAAGAGAGCGCACACTCACCTTTGATGTACCCAGGCAGCCAATGGGCCTGTCTGGCCTTCCAGACAGTCCTAACTTCTCATTGATACCCAGGTGGAAATAAGCCTGCAAGACACAAGTTCCTTAGCTTAGTAATGATAGTTTTAGAGAAAAGACACCAGAGAGGTCTGTCTAGGACCAACAAACCAGCCAAGTAATGCTGGGTTGGGGTTACTGAGCTTTTGAGAGCAAAACTTTTTAGATTCAATTAGCAACATTCTGTAACACTGTTGTGACACTGATGGAGGTGTACAACCTGCATGGGTTTTGATTCATAAAGCAATTCAAAAGATACAAATGCTTCCCTTGTCATTATGTACATAAAAAAAAATAAAAATCCATCCACTTAAAGTTAAAAAAAATCAGGGCCACACATCTCCGAGTGGGTTTCTACTTGCAAGTATATTTTACTCATTTGTTTTCTGAGTACATGAATTTCAAAGTGCTCCAAGCCCAAATGTTGGTCTTGTTTACTCTCATACCTTATGCAACAATTATTTGACTCTGGTTTATTTTGAAAGAAGTGTGTAAGTTACTGAGTAAGTCCGAAGAAGCATCAGAAGAGCCTTAAAGGACACAGATTAAATATATACCCACAATATACACATGGGTCAGTGAGTACACATTTACATAAATGTGTACTTCTACAAGACATAATCTTTTGATGTCCTGGCTATCAAGTTTATTACAGAGGTTCCAGACAAGATGTTAAAAGAGAACACTGGAGGGCAGGAAGGGTGCCATAGCGGAACTGCTGTGAGCTAAAAGCATCCAACCAGAAAGCCTCCACCCTGGATGAAATTAACTCCCAATCTTTTGTTATTTAAAAAAATATTTCAAGTACTATCTTTGGATACTATACAATTGTATCTATGAGACAATTTCTTAGGCTCGCTTGGCCAAAGAGACTGTACTTTCTTCTTGAAACATTAACACCTGGCTTTTTACCCTCTAGAAATATATATATAGGTTTACATAGGTCTTTTATGTCAGTCTTTTGGATTGAAATGATATTTCATTTTACTTTCACACTACTGTACTCAAATATTTTTGGTTAACTTTTCTGTTTTATTAAATGTACATGTTCTCTGTTTTTCATTTGTTTCCCGTTCTGCTGAATATTTGTCCTTCTTTTTGTAATATAGAGAATTTACCCATTGAAGTAAATGTTTTAGTTTTTCAATGTCAGAAAATCTGAGGACTACATAGTAGGTAAAACATCATTTTAATGAGTGCTGTTCCAATATTAGCATATTTTTGACTAGAAAATTTCACAACCAGCTTTGATATTATCAGGTTTTTATGCTTTATTAGTGACATTTGTCAGTCATCTCCTAACTGCTTTTTTGGTGTTAGTATCCTAAGTGCGATCTTTCTGTCTCAATGAGCTATAAAAATACATTCCTCTCTTTTTTCTTCTAATTGATTTTATATTTAAATCACTTTAAAATACTTAAATGGGATTGTCTCAATAGGTGAGGGCACCTGCCTCCAAGCCTAAGTAAGGGCCAGAGTTTGATTTCCTGGATTCCACATGGCAGAAGTAGAGAAAGGACAGCTACAAGCTGGTCTATAACTACCACACGTGTGCTGTGGAATGTAAAATAAATAAATAAATGTAATGAAAATTAGACTCAAATGTTTACTCTGCATAGAATTAATCTTTGTGTGTTTGATGACATTAAAAAAAAACCCTAAATTCTTCTATATGGATAATCATACTCTTCCTATATAATATAATTTTGATTTGAAGTGTTTGCAAATAATATCACCAAATAAAAAATACTCATATGCTCTGTTGAACACTTTTATATCACTGAGCTGTTCGCTATTTCTCCTTTTGAATTGTACATTCCTGAGAAGAGTATTCACTGATTGGCACAGTGCCTGGCACATAACTGGTACTCAGGAAATGCTCAATAAATGATCGGGTGAGCAAACTATCGTAAGTGTCCTCCCATAGCCTGCTGTATGAATACCAAGGACTTTAAACAACTGTGTAGAAGAAATACTTGTGTCTCAGCTGAAATAGCCTGTGTTTGGCAGTCCTAAGTGAAGCTTTGGACTCTGTCATCTCTTATCTCCCATTTTGTATCACCTTTTCTCCTCGAAACTCCTCAGTTCCAGGTCTCTTTTATCACAAAACAACATAACACAACAACAACAACAAAACACAAACTCCATCATCATGGATGTTTTCACTCAGGTGTGATTTCATTTCAAGTGTTACCTATTTTAAGAATCCTTATATAGGTGCCGGCTGAGCAGGAAGAGATGCGGCGTTGGAATGAGCTATGGAACAGTGAAAACCGTTTCCTGAGCGGTCGCTTCTGATCCCCTTCTTCCGTCCAGGGCCCCTCCTGGGTCACGGCCCCACCCACCCTTTGGAACTGCACATGATCTCAGCGAAAAGGCCAAGAAGTACCCTTTTGAATTGAGGAAGGCAGTGCGAGAGCTTGCCGAATGCTTGCTGGAGCAATGGGCTGATGCTCTAGCTTCCTCCTTCTTCCGTGTCCTCAGCTACAGAGGCTGGTTCGGAGGTCAGGGACTCCCTCTCAACCTGCCGCCTGGCCTGGGCCACAGCATCTGGCCGTGGAGGGGCGAACTCCGAAGGAAGCAGAGAACGATGGCTCAGTTCACCACGTCTGTCAAGTGTGATGTGTTGAGTCAAGATGAACTGCGCAAAAAGCTGTACCAGACATTTAAGGATCGGGGTATACTGGATACACTGAAGACCCACCTCCGGAACCAGTTAATTCAGGAATTGATGCATCCCGTGTTGAGTGGAGAAGTGAAGCCTCCATCCATTTCAGTGGAAGGGAGTGCCCTCCTAATAGGTGCTTCGAACTCGCTGGTGGCAGATCACTTACGGAGATGTGGCTATCAATATTCACTTTCTGTTTTCTTTCCAGAAAGTGGTTTGGCAGAAGAAAAGCTATTTACTTTGCAAGATCTATTACAACTCATTCGAATCAACCCCTCATCGAGTCTCTACAAATCACTGATTCCAGGATTTGATAAAGAAAACCAAAAAGGTTTTCTTATGAGTTTCTTAAAGGAATTGGCAGAATATCATCAAGCTAAAGAGAGCTGTGATATGGAAACTCAGACAAGCGCCACGTTTCCTAGCCAAGTGTCCCTAGCAGAGAAGTTTCAGCTTATCGATGATCAATTTGCAGATGCTTTTCCTCATCATCCCAAGCTAGAATCTTTAGAGACAAAGTTAAATGAATATAAGAAAGAAATACAGCACCAGCTTCAGGCAGAAATGTGTCAAAAGCTGAAGTATTTTAGAGAAGCTGAAATAACAAAAGTTAAGATGGAAGAGAAAAGAAAGTATGAAAAGGAATTGGCTGAGTTCCGGAGTGAATTTGAAAGAACTTGTCAAGCAAAAAATGAAGCGCTCATTTCTCAGGAAAAGAACACTCTGGAAAGGATTAAAAAGCACCAAGAGATTGAAACAAAAGAAATTTATGCTCAAAGACAGCTCCTCCTAAATGATATAGACTTGCTCAGAGGTAGAGAAGCAAAGCTGAAGGAACAAACTGAAGCTTTTGAGATGACCCAGAAGCTCCAAGAAGAAAAAAATAAAAGTGAGGCTGAGGCGCTTCGGAGACGGGAACAGAATCTGAAGAGTATTGAAGAGACCTATGATCAGAAACTCAAAACTGAAATTCTAAAGTACCAACTGGAACTAAAGGATGACTACATCACTAGAACAAATAAAGTCCTGGAAGAGGAAAGGAAGAACCGAGAAAAAACTGTTCATTTGCAAGAAGAGCTCACAGCTGTTAATTCAAAAAAGGAAGAACTCAGTAAATCTGTTAACCGTATGAAAGAAATTGAGGTGGAGCTAGAGTCTGTCAAAGCCCAGTTTTTGACAATGTCAAAACAAAACCACTTGCTGAATGAAAAGGTGAAAGAGATGAGTGATTACTCACTACTGAAAGAAAAGAAAGTGGAGCTTCAGGCAGAAAATAAATTGCTTAAGCAGCAGCTGGAAGAGAACAGGAAACATCTCCTCTACCACATAGCTCAGCCATCTCCTGAGCTCTCGGTTTTTCCAAAAGAATTACGGAAAGCACAAAATGCTATAGCACTGGAGCACAAGGAGTTTGACACTCAGAGGCAAGCTCTGCACAAACAGCTGCAGAGTGAAATTGAACATTCTACACGGCTAAAGGCCCAGATAGTAGAATATGATGCTTCTGTTAAAAGGTTAACTATTCAGGTTGCTGATTTAAAGTCACAACTAACACAAACTCAGACAGCCCTAGAGAATGAAGTGTTCCGAAATCCAAAGCAGTCTCTGACCCTAGATTCCCTGAGTGGCCTAGTGAGTGGCAAGATGGGGCCCTACACCGGGGATCCAAGTGGGGATTTCTTGAATGTGCCCCTTGAACAAGACAAGGTTATAGGAGATGCAGTTATGTCAAGGGTCCCACCCTATGCAAATGCAGCAACAGAGGCTAGTTCCCCAGACTCTGACCTTGAATTCATAGCCAGTAGTACTAAAGCCAAAGTAAGAGAGCTAGAGCAAGAGGCTGAATGCTTGGAAAAGGCATTCAGAAATTACCACCAAAGGGTTACTCAGAATCCTTCTATGAGTCCTCAGCCGGCAAAGAGTCCTTCATCTGTATACTCGCTAGGAGTTCCCAGAAGCATAGCGTCCACTTCCTTGTGTACACATGCTCCTGCAGAGGACAGAGCTGTCTCTGAACAGCCTCTTGTGGACATGGTGAAGGAAGAAAAGACTGATGTGTCTAAAGCAATCTTGGGCAGTGTGGTTTCATGGCCATGCAGGACCTCTTCCTCCACACACCTGTCCTCTATACCCCATCCAAAACTGAGAAGTCTTGATAATGAAATGCATCTGGAAGTTTTAGGTAGATTACACATTGCTTCCAGCAGCCCTTGTCTTGACAGAGCAGCTGGGTCACATGCTGCTTCCTCTAGTCCTTGTCCTGACAGAACAATAGCCCAGCCATCACCAGTTCCATCTAGGCACAGCTTCTCTGGTCCTTCCTCTAGGGTTCCAGAGCAAAATGCCTACTTTTATCAGAGACAATCTGAAAAGCAAGACAAAAGTGAACTTTCAAATGTGGACGAGCGATCTCTGAAAGATAAGGAGGACAAACCGTCTCTCAGATGGAACAAGCCAGAACAGTTTGAGGCAGGAGGATTCCTCCCTGCTGGTGACAGGTGTGCCACAGATGCTGCTGCAGCTACTGTACCCTCCAGACCCACTGCATGTGACTACCCAAGTGCTAATCAGAGCCAAACTGGAGAACAAAAAGAACAGCAGCCATGGGAATGCCACCTGGAAGAACAAAGGCAGAATGAATGGCATGAGACTCTAGAGAGGAAAAGAAGAGAGCTGGAAAAGCTGGAGCAGGAGAGGAGGATTATTGAAGAATCACTGAAGATTGAAATGGAAGAAGAATTAGAAAAAAGTGCTCAAGAACAGAAAGACAAATCAGCTTGTGGTGAAAATCCTTTAGAGAAATACATGAAAATCATCCAGCAGAGACAGGAGCACTCAAGTGTAGATAAAAGCTCAAAAAAATCAGGCAGAGAATGTTCACTAGTGGACACAATTGCACCTAGCGACAAAGATGAAAGTTCTCTAGGCTTTTCTCATGAAGAAACAGATGACATCTGGTAATCACATTAGCTGTCTAGCATCTCACATACAAGAAGTTTTGTAATATGTATTCTTATTTTTCTGGAATTAAAATTGTCAATAAAGAATCCTTATATATTTCAACTATCTTTCTACTGTGTGGTGAATGGATGGGAAGAGAAGGGATGTACATAGAGAAACCCATTTTACACTCTCATTAAATTATCTATCTATCTATCTATCTATCTATCTATCTATCTATCTATCTATCTATTTGTTTATTTATCACCATGTGGGCACACATGTGCTAGCACATCTGTGTTTAGGTCAGAAGATAACTTACAGGAGTTTTGCCCAAGATGGGTTCTGGGGATCTAACTCGAATCATGGGGGTTAGTGGCAGTGCTCTTTCCCTCAGAGCCATCTCACTGGCCCAAAGACCTATGCATTTCAAAGAAGTACAAGGATTCTCTAAGAGCTGGCACTCTTGGTACCCTGAACCCCAGGTTTTCATTTGTGCTGTATTATTGGCAAGTCCCATCTGATGAGCACAGAGTATGGGCTCCTGCATTTTCCTATATAGTACATACCTCAGCTCTCTTAGTTTTTGTTCTTTAGTAACAATCAAAGCTATGACCACTGTCATTTATATCAACTTAACCTTGATTACTTGACAGTTATTATTACAATCACTTTTGTCAAGCAGTGGATAACTTGTTTCTGGACTTTTAGAACCAATTATTAAATAAAAGGAGTTTAAGTAACTAGTGGGGTTGCCAATTCCGTCTCCAACAAGCAAGAGCACCCACAAACACAGATTAGCACACACAAAAGTGTCCAACGTCAGCTTTAATCTTATCCCAAATAGACATGTAACGGCAACAAAGCCGGATATGGTCATTTAATTTCTTTAGACTCAACAAACCAAATATATAAGAATTATTTCAGCTTTTAAAAAGTAAAGCAGACAAAAGGAAGGGCAGTGATTATATTAAAAAAATTTTAAACTGAGGTTTTAAGGTAATATGAAGGAAAATAAAACTATAAATGATAATTTTACACATGACAACTAAAATTGAGACTAATTTCTTATTCAACGTGCTTAGACAAGGCCAGTAACTGATTTTAACAGAAAAAGAAAACAACAAGCCCATGAATGTACTGTACAAGCACACACAATGAAGGATTCTGTTCATTTTGTCTTTTAAGTTAATATCTGATAAAGTGGACTTGTCAACTTAATTATCAAACTAGCGATCTTCTGTCAGGGTTTAAATTTAACTATGCATCTTCCCTTTGAATTAAGTCCAACAATCTTGTTCCAACACCTCTGGAAGGAAGAAAGTGAAGACACAGAATCACTTACTTTTACAAGCTCCTGCTGAGGCCAGATCTGGATAGGTTCCACCTGCTGAGGAGTTTGAGTTTGAATACCATATGTATTGAGGAAAACTTGAAGGCTAAATAGAGAACAGAGAGATGAGGTGGAGAGAGGGGAAGAGAGAGCTATTTTTAGACAATGTATTTATAGTTCAGGAAATCTGAATGAAGGAGGTAAAAGGGAACAGACAATGCTAGCCTGGAACATATGGCATATTTGTTACTATCCGTCCTATACCATGTACACCAGAATCCAAAGACCTGGATGGCTTCTTCCCCAAAGTATTAGGAGCTTTGACGGCAGTCAGAAAGATAAACGATTTTGGTAATCTCTGTAATGTGTGGGCACTAATTTCTCAAATGCACATCCATGTTTAAATATGAAAAGTATGTTTTATGACACTTAAGGTCACACCAATGATATCCTAGAAACTGCCAAAGTTTATTTCTGCCATCACCCTCAATATGATAAACATGAAGTGAGCACCCCCCTCCCTTTCCCACAGAAGAATGCACTGCTCATCTGTATCTCATACCGTTGGCTTTCTGCTACAAGTGCGACATGGACCACCAAGTCATTTTCCAGTGGGCCCTGAAAGCAGAAAAAGAGGAAGGAGAAACATTGAAAAAGATGTGGTCATGGCCAGCTATAATGAGAACCAAGGACGATATTAACTATCTTCAAGCAGTTCATTAATGTGATGGACACCAGCTGGATCTAAGCAGTGCCTTTCTCTCTTGCCCATCACTGCCTACTAATCAATTTGATGGTATAGACAGAGTAACAGAAGACCCAGGAAGGAAAGTCATAAATCTCATCATGACTAGAGAGGCTAGCTTGTCAGGGCGTTTTTGAATGATGCATAAGAGTAGTTCAGGGACTGAGAGTAATTTTCCATCATTTAACTCTGAAGGGAAGATGAGGAACTAAAAATAAAAGGCTCAATTTATGTGCTCTCCATAAAAAATGATGGTGAGTTAAAACTGTTCATTTGACATCTTAACCATATATAAGATTTTTCCCTTTGCTGTTAGCCTATTTTACTTTGGAAATATATATATATATATATATATACACACACACACATATACATACATATATTATATATATATATATATATATATATATATGTGAATGACAGACAGACACATAGCTAGATAGATAGTGTATATATCCTTTTTCTATTATATACTTCCTACATGTTTGGCTATATAATTAGCATTATGTTCATTAAATATTAGCTGATGGATTAAGCAGTTATAATCAAAGATAGTATTGGGTATCTGTAACTCTTGTGGAAAGTCACTGTAATACATATTACATATATATGCTAAAATACATATTAACATATATGCTAAAATGAACCCAATTTCAAGCCTGTCTAAATTAACAGTATTAGGATGCTCTGAAAATACTGATCAAATGTAATTACTTCCCAGTAAAAAATCCAGCATTCTCAATAGTATGCTGTAAAACGTTTGATTTACCATCAGTGAGTTCCATACAGTATGTGGGATGGCTGGCAAGAAACACTGGAATACTTATATTAGCAGTGAATATCACCAAATCAGAACGAGAGTTCCCAGAACCATCGTGAAAATGACACTACAGGCAGACTGTCATATAATTTAAGTAAATGTATAAGAGAAATATGACTTAACAACTCAGAAAAATCAAGCACACCTTACAATGTTACAAACTGTTGCTTAATAAGACCTTGCAAATGCTTGTTTCTCAAAACTATTATGAGAAAAGTTAATTATTCAGAGTCCCATCAATATTTCTAACAACAAATAAGATCATTAAGCTCATGAGACCTTGTTGTTACTTTGACTCCGGGACAAAGATGCTTGTGGGCTTCTTAGTAAACAGCAAGTCAAAACCTACACGACACTCCAGCATCTCATCAACAATGAAACAGTCACAGGCCCTGACTGCTCAGTGGCTACCTTCCTTCTGAATCACAGCGGGTACTTGGTTAGGGCTCATTAGATGACTGAGGAAATGTGAACAGCACCGAGAACCAGCCTGTCACAGAGGTCGGAGTCAAGTCATCCACCCTGTGGGGCCGGGGTGTGCAACCCCAGCTACACCCGCGGTACTCTGTATGCAGAAGGCGCTGGACAGGGTGGTCCCACCACAGCTCTATTGTTATCTAAAGATTGCAAATTTATTGACAACTTCCTTATCAGAAGAGAAGGTAATTAATGCTTGCTAATTGATACTTTCTCTAACAATGTAATATTTTCAACTTCCGAAAGTTTCTCTCCCTCCCTCTCCCCTCCTGCCAGCCCTGTGGTGCACTATTCTCCTTTCCATCTTTTCTTCGAGCACTCACTTGACCAATACACAAGGCTCCACGTCAGGACTCTGGACCCTCTGGATCCAGGACCACTTTTCATCCTGAAGTGGGACTTTAACTAAAAAGCAGGCACACACCAGGAACTGAATCTGCCAGTGACCCAAGACCTGCAGCTCCCAGAGCTGTGAGATAAGCTGTATCGCGTATAAGCTGCCCAGTGTTCAGTGTTCTGTTACCGCCAAGTTACTTTTCCTTTGTCACTGATGGACATAATTTTCTTCTCATTTTTCTCTTCTCAGATTTGAAAACAACCTCTTTCTGTTTCCTGCCTGTGCAGTCCTCCCTCTGCTCTGCCTTTAGAGATTGGTGACCCACATATTGAGGTCCTTTGGAATGTGTGAGCTTTCATCCTGTTCCTTTCCATTCTTCACAAGCCTCATTCACTTTGAAGCTTCAAATTATTATCTCTAAGCAGTTGATTTCTAGTTTTCAGATTACTTTTGAGTTCCAGTTCCCACACCTTACTTGTTTTATAAACATTTTTTTCTCTAAGTTTTTTTCCAAAGTAGGTTCTATAATTTGACTCTCCATTAATCCCACCCTTATCCCAAACAGGTTATTTTATTACAATTATTTAATTGGTCAGTGTATCTCAGTGCCTTAAGTCATCTTTGACACTTTAGTCTTTAAATCCAACTTCTACAGCAGTTCCTAAGTGAAAAATAACATACACTAACACTTACAATACCACTTCGTGTACAAGAACCGTTTAAACGCTTAAAAAACTATTATCCCTACCTTAAAGATTGGTTATGATATGTAAATACGTTATCAGTATAACCCTAAATGTGTAGTTTATCCACAGCTGATATCAGCTTCCAGAGAGGGCACGTGATCTTTTGTCAGCTGGAAACTGCCTTGTGTGGGGGGTGTGGTTTTGGCCAGCTGAAAAAATATACATATGCGGACTCTGAGAAGAGATAAATAGGAGCGCGTGCGCACACAAACACACACACACACACACACACACACACACACACATACACACACACACACACACACACCTGCTTTAGAGAATGTTTCACGGAGGCTGCTGTTGATTTGTGCTGCTGCTGTTGTTTGTTTGCTGGACTGTTGAAATCCTGACAAGGAGTGGAACTAAGTCTAAAAAGGTCTGTATCTCCTATCCCTACTAACCTTCTTTCTCTCCTACCTAGGATCAGGGATTTGAAGAGAGGTAGAAGTGTTTATGAACCCCAAATAAGTAGGTTTACAAAAATGAAAGTCTACAGCCCTAAGACCTAAAGGCACTCAGGTGCCCTGCCCTTACAAGATCACAGAAAGAACAGGTGTGGAGACTGAAGACATCATTCTCATAGATTCCCACCTTGCCACTTCAGTCACGACCCTGGTCATCTAACAGAAGCCTTAAACTTCAAAAACCAAAAACCAAACAAACACCCCCCCCCCCCAGATTTATTAATTCCCAGCTTTAAGTCCACATATCTTTAAGGCATTCTTTATTTACATGAAGCTCACATTATAAATTCTTGCTCTGGTTAAAAAATCTGTTTCTTTTTTCCCCTCTTCAAGTCTCCTGATCAATAATAACTTTAAAAAGTGTTAGCACAAATAGTGTATTAGGATGTTGTAAGAAATTCCTTACTCATCTAAATGCCACTACTGGATATGTTATTACAATGATTCTTATTTACTGACAAGAAAGTTGGGGCATGTACTGCTTTAAAAAACCTTATTAGGGCCTTATTAGGGGGTACGGCTCAGGTCAGAGCACATGCCTTGAATACATGAGGCCCCTGTGTTTGATCCCAGCAGCACAAAAACAACAGTTACACAACCAAATTAAAGTCAGTAAGTGACAAGGTTGGGATTCAAACCAATCTAGCCTATTTCTTTTTTTTAAATTTAATTTTATTTATATATTTATTTGTTATAATTTATTCACTTTGTATCCCTGCTGCAGCCCCTCCCTTGTCTCTGCCCAGTCCCACCTACCCTCTCCCTTCTCCCCTATGCCATTTTCCTAGTCCCTTGATAGTCCCCCCATGCCAGTACCATGCTGTTTTTATTACTGTTGCTCTCTAGTACAGCGTGAGATCTAGGATGGAGATACCTCCACAAGATCTTTTATTGTACAGGACTGTTTCAGCTATTCTGGATTTTTTGTTTTTCCATATGAAATTGAGAATTGTCCCTTCAATATCTGTAAAAAAATGTGTTGGTATTTTGATGGTAATTGTATTGAATCTGTAGATTCAATTTTGGTAGGATGGCCATTTTAGCCTATTTCTTATACCATTCCATTAGAGTGTGCTCTATGCCTTTCTAATTTGTTGCTAACTCAACAATAAGTCACAGTTCTTCCCGCTCCTCTTCACCCCACACACCCTAAATACACTACACCTCTCCTCTCCATCTTCTCTGTCACTACCACCCTACTCAAAGACTCCACTACCCTGTACTTGATCCACTGACTGCTCTATCCACTCAGCTTTAATGCTCGCTGTCCATTCATAGCCCCCATCCTACAGATGGATATTTCAAAAATTACAGAAATGATCCCTGAAACTACAGTCCTCAGACAGGTATTTAAAAAGTGTAAATCCATCATTATCATGGAAAACCCTCCTTAGCCCACATGCATACTGCTCTCCAAACAAACTCTGCAATGCTTTCCTGTCACCCAGAGGACAAGAACCAAACTGCCTTTCATGGCTTTAATGTCCTTCCTGCTTAGTTCCTCCCCACCTCATCTCCCTCTTCTTTCCCACCATGTTCTAGTGACACTGAATTCTCTCTGCCCCTTGAACACAGTAGCCATTTCCCATCACAGGGCTTTTGCAGTGGCTACAATTAATTAGTATGTTTTTTTTTTTTTT